GAGTCTTGCCTGTGAAGCCCTTGCTTCCTTGAGCTGACTAGGGTCATAACACAAAGCCGGTCCTAACTTGTTTTACAGGGCTATCCGAATACAGAATGCAGTTCGTATACTATTGGGGGAGAATTTCCCCCACGGGTAGTCGCAACCGAGGAGAAGAAAGAATCGTTGGCCGATTTTCGCCTTCAGAGCGCCTTTCTTGTGGGCTCCAGCCACAGATTACAGTGAAGCTTTCACTATCAAGATTACTTTTTGACGCAGACCACTTCGTGCTACCGTGACCCAGGTACGTTTTAAAGGTCGCACTGAGACGGCATGGGTGGTTATGCTCCTGGCGTCGGGAGCACTCGGAGGAGATTTCACCGAATGATGAGGGATGGGCGGCGTGGATAGATTCTCTTGGAGTCTTCAAAATTGTCTGTTTGACCCGTTGATCAAAGGGAGGAGTGTTGATTCGACGCCTGAGATGGCGGCGGACTAGTGCTAGGTTTGCCGCTGTTTGGGCGGCGCGTCGTTCTTCGACCTCGAGAATTGGTCGAAGCTCCGGGTACAGTCTGCCTTGGAGCAGGTTCCTGTTATGATGTGAGAAAATGAAGTAACCAAGGTATGGGTAATGTTGGTGCCCTAAGGCCACAACATATCTCACTATGGAACTGGTTTGGCGAAGATGTTCCGTGGTGACACGATTTCAAGTTTTCAGTGAATTTATATGGGGCGCATATTTATTTCATGTCACCCTCAGTTTTATGCAAGTCCAACCCGCTCTCTAGTTTTTTCCCATTGCTTTGATGAGCGCCGACCACTAAAAATTGTTGGAAATTCAGACTCTATATGTCTGAAGTTTCCCCATGATTGGAACAACTAAGATTCTCACACATGACTCATAGCCTGATTCATGACCTAGATGATTGATATCTCCCTTACTGAGCATGTTTGATGCTTGAGACTCGACTAGTGCATGGTATAGTCTGATACACGTGTAGGCTTTCATCCACCGACTCTTACCGTATACTCATGTTGTATACTGTCGTGCGATTCATTGTCAATGTTAGAGTATGGAACGAGTGATGGATGGTATCTAGTCTGGATTTGGTCTATCAAGATTACATGTATATAAGCTGCCTAGGAATCACCAAGACAGATAGTCTAATCAATTCAATTCATTCAACCCATCTATTAAATTAAATAACTGTTTGTCAAACATAATTATTCTTGCACCTGAATATAATGGAGTTATGGTTGTGACTATTGTTTACTTAGGATCATAATGAGTAAGGCGTTTGGAGATATTATATACTCTGTATTAGTAGTTCCATATTAGCGTGTAGCGAGGGCTAGGTCGTAGCATTAGGAGAGAGTGCAGAGAAGCACTCGCGATACACGCTCTGTATTTTATGTTAACCCAATACTTTATCAAATCTACTTCCAGTAGTTCTACATCAGTTGCCTAAAAGAATCATATTATAATACCATCTTTTATTTCTCCATAGTATATCACATATTCTCCCGATTCATATCATTATTATTCTATTCATAAAATCGCGCCCATATTCATTGAGCCACCTTACTCATCGAACCCATACCGATTTTCCAACAAAAATTACACAGCTCTTCTTACCTTGTGCTTGAGTTACAATAAGAATTAGATTTCTCAAATACAAAGTTACTTATTCAGAAGACACATGGCTTTACTCGATAATAACCTTATTTTACAGATGAATCCACCTCAAACCCCACCTTCAACACCTCGAATCAAAAAATTATCCAGAGATCAAAACATTTTAGTAAGTAGAAAAAGTAGATATGAACAAATATAAATTAAAAGAAAAATTAAGATCTATGGGCTTCATGAATCTGGCAAAAACCAGACGCAGATTGCCGCGCAACTAGGCATTTCTTGGGGACAAGTTAGTTATTCACTGCGCCGCAGAACAGTCTCCCCCAAAAAGAGAAAAAGAACATCCTCAAGGCTGAAAGCAGATGATGTTGATCAGATTATATCTTACATTGAGTCTTCACCTGGAAACCGCCGCAAAACATTTCGGGAACTTGCCTCTGGCCCCTTTAGACATCTTGGTGTTAGCGAGCGGATAATACAAAGAGAACTTCAAAAAAGAGGATATCAGCGAAATGTGGCTCGTCCAAAGCCTCCAGTATCTTAGAAAACTATGAAGACACGCAGAGAATGGGCCGAAGCCTTATCTAAATTGGACATACGAAGACTGGACGTCAGTTTTGTGGACAGACGAAACTTGGGCAGCGGATGGAAGACATTCTAGAGAATGGGTGACAAGAAGTGTTCGTACATTCCTCAATAAGAAGATGGTAACTTGATGTTCTAACATTATGAGCTAGATTTCCCAAGAACACAGTGCTGATTGTGTTGAAGAAAAATCGAAGGGGGTCGGATGTGTAACGGCTTGTGAGCCGATTGTTGTGTGGCACGTGATTGTATCCACGTGCTTCTATAATTCTACAGTAGTCTAGCTTTATTCCAGATCAGTTCAGCTGTGACTGGAATATTCTAGTAATTGGTAGCAAGACTGGGAACCACTATGACTGGAATATACGAGAAGTAGATGTTAGGCAAGAACGAGTATTCTAGAGTTCTTCATAGATGTATAAATAGCTGAAGTGATACTCAGATAGTTAGCCACAGAGAAAATTATAAACTACCTTCGTATATCTGATTGTTCCCGCATCAACACTTGAACCGTGACAGGATGGATGTTCTGGGATTGCTTCGCAGGGCCAGAAAAAGGCCCTTGTTTGTTTTGGGAGAAGGATTGGGGTTCCATTAAATCCCAAAAATGTTGCGAGAAGATAGCTCCTCTTAGCGATGGCATGGTCTTGATGAGACCTTGGCTTTCCGTAATGCAGGATAATGCTCCTGCCCACACAGCCGCAATTACAACGGAAGATATGAGCCAGGAACTCATTCAACCGATTTTCTGGCCGGCAAACTCGCCTGATCTTAACCCGATTGAAGCTGTTTGGAATAGGATGAAGGATTACATGCAGCGTCATCATCCGAATCTAGGTTGCGGAAAGTAGCGAACTCAAGATAGTCTTCGCAACATTGTAAAGGAGGCATGGGATTCCGTGTCTTCCGAAGATCTTGTGAGACTCACTCAGAGTATGCCAGCTAGATGTCAGGCTGTGGTAGATGCGGATGGTGGACCGACCAGACATTAAGGCCTGAAAATATTCCAGCCTCATGTTCAGATCTAAGGTTAGGATAAGACTGGCTCTATTTTGTAATTTGAAAAACCTTTGAACTCTTGTAAATAAGTTATAAAGTCAAGTAGCAAAAATGCACAAATGTTATGCAGCCGATCATTATACAAATTAGGTTTAGTACGAAGGAAAGACCCACTACAAACTTGACACCGTGGCATCACGGTACATAGTTTCATAGATGTATCCACAATAAATGAATACAAGTTTAGTCCTACACTATCTGTGTATATACCTACAGCACAATATTGTATGAATCTATTAACTGTCAACCACTTAAACAACATCATCCACTCCTCATCACTCAGCAATATGACTTCCGCAAAGCTCATAACCACAACAAAACTTCTATCCAAAGAAAATAAAAATGTTAGTAATGGAATCTGCGTGCGAGGGAAAATGTCTCAAAAAACTTGTAGCCCCAGCCAGGAGAGACCTAGACGCTAGGATCACACGGGGTGCACATATCCATCTACCTTCCCCTACTTTGTGACATTTGAGATCTCCTAGATCCAATCCACCATCACCGTATCGGGTGCTAGTTACGCTCCAGAAACTCGTCGGATGGCTTTTTCTCCATGATCAAGGATTGGTGATGGACATGGCTCCGACCCTACCATCTGATCTAATCGTGGTTAGATTCATGATAATGGTGAAAGAGGGTTGTGTTGAGAGATGACGATAGAGACCGCGAAAACTAATGGGAATCCTCATGGAAGTGAGGACTTTGTTACTGTATCTCGGCTCTGCAGACTCTACAGTAAGAGCTGGAGGTTCGTAGGGGATACAACTGACAGGTGATGAGACTAGTCTCTAGAGGGTAAATTATACATTACTGACAAACACGCGTTATAGAGGTTATTTTTGAAATAAGCAAGTTCAAGCCAAGTCTATGTTTGTCACGTGATGTCGGGAACGATCCTCCAAGCGAGGATCGCACTATCAAGATTTGTAATTGTAATGTTTGATATGACATAGCTTACGAGATATAAATCGATTCACTGCGTACAAATTTAATGGTATTTGCGAATGAAACCCAGAGTCTGAATAGCAATGAAATCTAGAGAGTCATCAAATATGTACACATGGTACTGGTCATAAATCATAATTAAGTTGCTTGATACATATTAAACGAAAAAAAAATTCTTTCAAAAAACGTTAGACCTTGATAAAATTTATGGAATACTTGAATAAAAGATATAGGGGTTAGAGCCCAACTTTAATATTAATTTATGTGGAGTACTCCTTTAAAAACCTGCTCAAGACAACTAGAAGAGAATGTCATCACATATTGATATCTAATGCCTTTCAGGTGATACTCTAAAAATATGATTTTAGACTTTAATTTCAGACATGCGAAGCTGTTACAAGATTATGGCTCGTTCGTCACGAGCAAAAATAGTAAATTAACAATATTCTAATTGGGACAGTACTTTAACCAATTATCAAGTAGCTTGTATCTACTTGTGATCAACCATGCCCATCATATGTGATGGAAATTTTCCCAGAAATAGATCTTAATAGCCGGCCATGGATACTGTGGGTGATATGAGTCACGATATATAATTGGAGTGTAAGCCCATTCTCGTGAATAGGTGGTTAGAGCATTCCATCATTGAATCTTGTTACAAGATTGAATGCGTAGATTGATGCGTGTGCAGCTGCAGTTTATAGGCCTTTACTAGAAAGTTAGGTCTCACCTTATTTACATTCAGAATTATCCCTAGATAGAGCATGACCTGCTAGCTTCAAAAGTCGACAAGGGCTCAACTGTGAACAGATACAGGCATGGTGGTCCCTAACTGGCGCTCGCGGCTAATCATCTCCTTGACAGTCTTGAGACTTTCTTTCCACTGATCTAGCTTGGTTGCAATCTCACGCCATTGCTTCTCGCCAAAAACTCTGTAGGTTGTACGGTGGACTAGTAACACCTGTTTTTGTTGCGATAATTTGCCTTCAATTAATCCGGCTCGAATTACATCGATAACCCACATTTCAACATCTTCAGGGGGGATGACGAGGGATTTAGCAATTTTCGAGTACTTAATTTCTCTAGTACTGTCTCTTGCAGCAAGACTGGCCATTGTTAATAATCTGATTTTTCGCTGTAGTTTTTCGTGGTCAAGGTTTTCAAGTTCTATCCAGCCTTTGTGTTCTTCTCGGAATTCATTGTAGTCTTCGAGTTCTTTCTCGGAAAAGATAGTGAGTAGTTCAGAGTGAATAGGATGACTCTCACTAAGGGCCTGAATGGCAGGTAGTGACGTAAGGTTGTGAAAATCAAATTGTGTTGCTGAAAGAATTGCGACTTTTAGGGCACGAATGGAGAGATTTTGAGACTCGACGGAGGAGATCTCGGTTGAATCTCTAGAATTAAAAGTTCGCAGTCCCTTGAGAATGTACTGATAAGCCTGTCTGCAACGACTGTTAACATTTGCCACTGCTGCCTTAAAATAGTCACATACTCTTCATCACCTGCATCCTCCGCTATATCCGCTATTTGAGCGTAAAGTTTACGCTGATCCTCCTCGTTAACTTTCCATTCTTTGATCCAGATGTCTAGTTTTTCTAGTTGTGGCCTCAAAAGTTCGAAAAAACCATTAGCTTTGACATGACGTAAAATTGCTTGAAATACATTGAAGCGAACTTCATTTTCGGGTTGAAGTAGATTAAATAACGTGGTAAGCACGTTCAAAGCAAGACCGGGACCGTTGGTGGGGGAAGAAATAATAGGCTTAGATAAATTTTCGCAGATTTTAGGTAGAAATTTATTGACATTTGGAGACTGAAGAACAAGATACACCAGTAGATTGTATGCTGCAGTGAATTCTTTCTCGGGCGTCGAGTTGAGTGAAATACTGGCAGTAACTAGCTTTTTGAGAGCGTCATCTTTGAGATTTGAGTCGAGAAGCGTCTGTATAAATTAGTTTTGATGTTAGTAGTAGATGGAATGGAATTTACCTTGATCTCTTCACCAATTTGCAGGTAGTCACCCAGTTCGTTAGCTAAATCATGAAATTTACCTTCGATAAAAACTTGCTGATTTAACGGTGCCATGACAAGAGGTTAGACTTGGAACAAATATGATTTCTACTTAAACGACAGGAGTGACAATGTTTAAGATTGATTGCAAAGTGTGCGGTTGCGAGTGAATAATAAAATTAATTGGTCCCAAATTCATCGTCGCTAAATTTAATCCAACCACGTAAACGCAATGGCCGACGCCACCACCTCCAGGATTACAATACCCAACTGCTTGAAAGCAGCTACATATTTCAATTCTATAGTGAGGAATGCTAACAATCAGAACCAGTTTTCGCAGGAATATCAGGCAATGTGAACCAATCGTTTAAGTGTTTTACTCTACGAGCATGATGTGAAATTATCTTCGGATTCAAAACCCATTGGCAGTAGAAAGTTTAATTTTATTTTAGGGGGGTCAAAACTTTTGCTACATGTGTATGACACCTATTGACATTAACGAATTGAATTAATATTAATAACATGTGATATACAAACGAGGTCAAACTTACGCTGAAGTTACAGAAAAGAACTAATACTATACCTCCAGGTCCATGATCTTGAAGGCCCGTGAAAAGGTTCGTTGTCTGTTGGGATAAGCAATCGAGGCACATACATATCAAGTTTTTACGTGAAGACTACCAACTTCTACTTTGTCCTTAACACAGAATAAACAATTAGATTTCAAAGAAATGCGTCAATCTCGATCTTTTATTTACACGGATATTCTTGATAAGCTACACGCATCAAGCTATCCACAATAAACATATACAGGAACAGGTTAGAGAGTGCAATCGTTCCGTCCACTCCTTGCGAAATTTCGACAGTGCGTATCGTAATACGTCACCTGAACCTTTTTTTTTTAATTGTGCTGTCTGAGTCTATGACTATGTAGGGCATGCAGGTCCTCTCTGCCTATAGGCCGAGGTTACCTATACCAGTAGTATATCCCCTCCTATGCCTCCCATACAACTCCCCTCAAACAGTACCACCTCTCACAAGTCCTCATTCAATCATACACTTAGAGGAGCCCTTAGCCCTTCGTTATCTCCCCTCTCCAGCCAAAAAAACGATGGCCATTTGCGGGTGTATGGCAGCCGGGAGAAATCGCAAAAAAACACTGGTTGCGGAGCTCTTCTACTACCGACATTAGGACTAAACCCGAAGACATAGTGACCCTTCTGAAGCGTTCGAAGAGGCCGGCTGGCTAGGCGCTGCAGACTTGTGGGTACTTCGGGAAATTCACACTCTGCCTTTCTAGCCTCCTTCCAACTCCATCCCGAAGGTCGTGCTGAAATGTCAGAAAAGTCTTGAGAGAGCGTGATTGCTGTATGGCAGCTTAGCCCAACTTCTTTTGTGCCGTCCAGGGCGCTGGGGAGTGCCGTTCACTCGTGGACAAAAGAAGCCCTCCTGGCTAATGAGCCGAAATCTTGTCCATAGCGCCCACAAAAAATCCATAGTTGAAACCCCCTCGAAAATATCAGTCCCAGCATAGTCTTCAGGGACATGTTCCCCTCGTCGCTCCATATCTCAGCCGCCTGTTATCCCTCAAGTTGTTTGTCCCATCAGAGCAACAGTCCCCCAGAAGCCAAGACCCAGGCTTTGTATTTTTCGACTTAATTTCCTCCTTACGGGTATAAATAGCGTCGAAAATATATAGTGAGAGATGGCTGGAAATTAATGGGGCGAGCTCCGGTATGCAACTGGAGCAATTTCTTTATTGGTCGCTGAGGCGAGATGATACGTGGTTGGAAAGAGGTTGAGGACTCAAATGAGAATGACAAGAGAGGAATTGTCGATAAGTCGTCAAATAGAGATATGCTTGAGAGTGCTTTCAACTTCGATTCGGATGCGATTCTTCTTGGCTATCGCACATATGCAGGGCATACTGAGCGATTATACCGGCACAACCGGAAGGTGAGGAATATGTCTTTTCCGACTTTAGTGTGTAATGCATGTGTGGGGATCATGGACCAAACTAGAACTCGATAGAATAGAGATAATGGAATCAAACAGAGAATGATGGACTGAGAGAGAACGAGATAGTCATTTCTCGTAGGAGAGAAATGATATCATAAGAGAATGCTCTAGCACTAGGCTGTGAACAACACAGTAAGTCTGGAGCATGATATAAGGAGGTCGCAACCCCCGTTTTCGTGATTAAGTCAGCTTTACATAAGAATATAGATTCACGTCTTACATGTGACGAGAAGACACGCGACAGCGATTAAAGAGACCTACTGTGAGCATAACTTCCCTAAGAGTATCCATTGTTCTGCTCCTATATAGCCTGGTGAATCTAACAATCTTACTACAACACCTCGTCTAAACTGCCGACACAAGTATTACTCCAATTGCTATCGGGCGTTTGCCTCATTAAAAGTCGGCCATCTCCCACTATAAAGTTATGATGCTATGTATATCCGCGAGGAGCAAATTAAGTCATAATCTACAAAGTTCTGTTCTTGGTCTATGGAGGATCTTTATACTAATGGGGCTTCACATTTTGGGAGAGGACAGCCAATGTTTTTTCTTGTTTTCCCAAGGGTTGAGTGAGAGGTGAACGTCCCTAGCACATAGGTCTCAAGTGGTATCAGCGAATGCACCCACTTCAACAGTAGTCCAAATGTTAAACTGAGTAATCAACATATATAGTCGTCGGGGAAGGACTCGCCTTCTCCATATCATGCTCTATAAGCGCAGGGCTTGTGCCCGTTGCGAATAAATATTCATTTGTTCATTCAACCTACCGCCTCTAGAAGTCTCCACCGAAACTTGACACTTATATAAACAGCTCATTGTACGTGATTTTGCTTCCACTTTGATATTTTGATTTTTTGAGCCCCCCTGCTTCACCTCTCTGTGACAGTTATGGGAGTACTTCATGGTAAGGGTGATGAGACGAAGGCGACTGGTGCTTGCGTGGATAAATAGGGATCCTGAGGTTAGGGACTGCGACTCTTCTTCGCTATCCAGGTGTGTGAACATACTAGTTTTTACTATCATATTTGATCATCTTGAATATAAGACTATTAGGTATGTAGGGAACATACAAGTTGAGTATACCGGCACCGCTGGAGGGGGAAGAATTCGGGTGTATCGGTTAGCTGCGTCATAATGGGTTGTAGTGCCCGGTAGCTCTGTCGGAAAAAAGCCGTCCAGAGCGTGACTACAACCGCGGCATGCGCATTGACTCGAAGTTAGACCTGATCTAACTTGGAACCACAGCACCCGAATGAAAGGTAAACAACAACCAATCAAACAAACCATTCTAAATTTTTACATTTAAATGATAATGACTGATCAAAATTATCTCTAACCTAGAATTAACTAGTAACGCTTTCGATACCCGCAGGAACAAAATCAACACTTTCTCTTTGGCTTCGTCCCTTATCCAATTCTTTGCTAATTTTTCGCCGTGAATTTTCGAGATTATCAACGTACGCGTGATCAGGAAAAGCCTTTGGATTCCAATAAGATTTTGGTAGGGTAGTTAAATATTGATCAGTCTCATCCATATTAGCTAAATCCATCAGATTCTGCATACAGGTGGGGTTTTTGAGGGCTGTAGAGCTTTCTAGTTTTTCGTTAAAGTGAATTCCCCGTGCTTTAAGTTCCAAAAGGCGATTGAATTTCAAGTTAATCTCTTGATTTGGAGGTGTTGTTGGCGACGAAGGAATTTCGTAGTTTGGAGATGTCGGCATGGTCAGGTTTCGAAGTATGGCCCTACCTTTAGAGTATGGAGATAATTGAATTAGATTTGGGTCACTTTCGAATGATATTGGCCCCGCAATCGTGTTTGGTTGCAAGTGAGGACCGAGTAATGGTGCGTTGATATCTTGGCATTTTTTTATCGGATTTCGAGATCTATCAGTTGTTGGAAAATTTGCTACAATATTCTCTGATTTGGGTCAGAATTTAGATGCTGATCAAATTATTGGTGTGTCAAACCGGTAATCGAGGATCCTTTTTCATCGATTTTTGAAAGCGTCTTAGCCTCCTGGCAAAACATAGTTAGCATTTACGGCATATTGCACCTATTTTGTTACATTTTCGAGCCAAGTTTTCTGCATTCTATCTGTCTCATCTTCCTCTTCGCTGCTAGAATAATTCACCAACCCAGACAGTTTATCCATATTGCATGTGGTTTTTTTGAGAAGAATGACGTTGATGATGCTGCAATTGGTGCAAGCCATAACCCCCTGCAGCCTCGTCATACACTGCACACAGACCAGCAACTGTGTCTACAGGTCTCCATTTCGCGTACAGGTCTCATCATCGACGCCTTCACAAGAAATTTCGAAATGAATCACTTTCCTCAGACTTGGGGACGCGTAAGTCTCAACAACTGGAAATAAAGAATTTAAATATATCTAACACGCTACGAAGCCCCGTGATGAAATTTACGGTCCCTATGACAACTCATTTTTACAAAGCAATGTGCCCAAACAGCATACAAAATCACCCATCGTAACTGGCACTTCAGTTATTGCTGTTAAATTTCGGGATGGTGTCATCATCGCAGCTGACAACCTAGGTGGATTATCTCTACAACTATTCAAAACGGGCTAACATATCTCCTGCCAGCATCTTATGGATCTCTAGCTAGATTTACAAACGTAAAACGCCTAAGAAAATTCGCAGACACTTCAGTCGTTGGCTTCGGTGGTGATGTCTCAGACATGCAATATCTTGACCGGCTCCTCGGTTCTCTCGCCATTGATGAGGCTTACAATTCAACGGGCCATACACTTAATGCCAAAAATATTCACACTTATCTAGCAAGAGTAATGTATAAGCGCCGCTCAGAATTTAATCCTTTGTGGAATCAAATTCTTGTGGCAGGTCTAGATGATGAAGATAAGCCATTTCTCGCAAGCGCAGATTTGCTAGGAACAACATTCACTTCTCCCAGCTTAGCCACCGGATTTGGAGCTCATCTAGCACAACCTTTACTCAGGAATTTGGTTCCAGATGAGGAAGCTGTTGCGAAACTCTCACAGGATTCTGCTATTAGGGCGGTGAAGGAAAGTCTGAAAGTATTGTTCTACCGAGATGCCCGAAGTCTTGACAAATACTCCATTGCAGTAATTACCAAAGCCGGCGTTGAACTAAAAGAAAATGAACAGCTGGAGAATCAAAGCTGGAAGTTGTAAGTCTTCAGTCACATCTCAACCTAAACAGCCGCTGATTTAATTTTAGCGCCGAACAAATTCGGGGATACGGAACACAGAAAAATTAAGAATAACTGTTTGATACTAATAGAATAATTTACATGTCGAAGGACATTGAAGTTGTATCAACACTCTAGTGTATTCAACTATCAATCCTTTTCCTTTACATCAATAAATAAAAGATTCTGGTAAAGCTTGAGATCATCTAGTGAATAAGCCAGTAAGAACACCCTACAAAATTAAGTTAAATGACGGCAGATCCCACCCTCTGTCTAAACACAGAAAACCTAGGACTTTGGTATAATAGCAGCATAATGATAGAATTAATTTTGAAAATCTCAAGTCATTGCCAACGTCTTGAGAGGGGATGTAAAAGCTTTACAGGATATTTCGTACTTTATCTTGCCTGATTAATTTCTTATTGACATTGGAAAAGCTGTCATAAGATTTTTTGAAGCAAAAAAAGTACAACAATTATTCTCCAATACCCTCTTAGACAGCCAATTTAATTTTGATAATTGTATCGGCCTATAGAACTTTCCATCTCCTGTCAAACACACTTTCAATTTTCTACAGTTGATTCAAAATTTCATCTGAATCTACCGGTCGTAATCAGTCTACCTACACGTGTGACGCATCAGTTTGAGAACATTCCGAGTTATTTATAATACAATTTTGTTAAGTTATAACTTGTCTTTTTCTGATTTCTTGACATCATGCCAGTGTATAATAATATAAAATGAGATTCAACTCTCAATTACCACAGTCTAAACAGCCTACCTGATGTTCCAATATCCTAAAAAAAGAACAGCTAGATAAACCGAGTCACAGTGACTAGCCAGCATCTAATTAATTTTTCAGGCCGGCAGGTTATGACTGTTTTTTATCTCCAGTTGTCACCTTTTGAATTGGTTATTATCTTTTCCATCCGCTTTCAAAATATGTAAAACTCAGAAACCCTACCACTACTCACTGAGAATTCTGGAATCTAGATTGAAAATTTATACCGAGTTTCTCGAGAGAACTGTTCTCTATCATGTTCTCGTAGTTAATCCTTCATATCTAGATCCTTATATCCAGACTCGGAGCCTTCCCTCTTTGAAGGCGTATTTTACCAAGTCTCCTAGGCTTGTGGCCTTCTTTTGTATGGCGGATTAAAAGATAAGTCTCTGGGTTTTGATTAACGGATGTAAAACAAGTGTTGGTAGAGGGTCGCGGGTCGCGACTTCGGCATTCTGACTTTTGAAAGAGAAATATATGATGGTTAAAAAATATACAATGGAAGTAATGTGGTACTCCGTAAATCCCAGACTCAGCTTCATTAACGATATATTATTTTTCAATTTTCGTACTGCCGAAATCTTGACAGCAAGTGATCTTGACAAGAAAATTACTTATGTTACTCATATTGTATGATACTGGAAGACAGACCCTTATCTCCTGTAAGTAGAATCATTCATAAGATTGAGAGTATTATATTCACTTAAGGCCGAGTTTCTGTCATGAAAAACGGTAGGCTTGAAAGTTCTTAGAGGAAATGGCGATATTTCGTGTCTGCAAAGATAGCGAATCTATCAATTCCACACAAAATATGAACGGCAGATATACACAATTTTCAGCTCAGAATAAAACAACCAACACCCCACACCATGTGTCACAGTTCGAGTGTCGATGCGGGAGCAATCGGATAAACGAAGGTAGTTTATAATTTTCTCTGTGACCAACTATCAGAGTATTACTTCAACTATTTATACATCTATGAAGAACTCTAGAATACTCGTTCTTGACTGATATCTGCTTCTCGTATATTCCAGTCATAGTAGTTCCCAGTCTTGCTACCAATTACTAGAATATTCCAGTCACAGCTGAACTGATCTGGAATAAAGCTAGACTACTGTAGAATTATAGAAGCACGTGGATACAATCACGTGCCACACAACAATCGGCTCACAAGCCGTTACACTGTGTTTACATTTCCTTAGAGAACTACTATCACGGCTTGTCGAAAAGTGGCGTACGATATAATTTGGATTATTCTTTTAGTATAATGTAGTAAAGCTGATAACACATAATTCAACTAAATTACGAAGAAATTGTATGACTTATGAAATTAATGTGGAAGAAAACTAATAAATACAATGTTTACGCGCGTAAAATAGAAAAACATAATTTTTGCCAGAAAGCTGCGCAGCATTCCACGCTGCCTGTATCATAAAATTGACATCGTGATTATTATTTTTACGTCTTCATTACACTCCTGCCATATTTTCGCTTTCCGTGCTCAAACATGGCGAGTGTGGGTGCTGGTGTGGGTAAATCCAGCGGTTTCGACGCGTCGCAAAATGCGACAATGGCCTCAACCAACAACGGCAGCGGAGCGCAGACAGCTCCAATGGACAGGAACCTTGAAATCCTGGGGAAACTTTTGAAACAGGTTAGACTCATCGTGATGGGAGAGATGGATGAGGAGGACTTACCCTCAATGGAGGATGTGAACGAGGCCGTGAAGGCCTTCAACGCACACAAAAGGGCCTGGACGGGAATGACCCAGAAGAAGTCTCCTATCGAGGAGAGGATGATGGCGCTCGAGGAGTTTGTCAAAAAGAGCCTCGCGGATCCCGCTCGAAAAGCTGCACCAGCAGTGGTTTCGGGCGCGCCGACACCAAGGAGCTACGCGTCGGTCGTGGCTCCGCAAATGACGAAGACAGCGGTTAGAATAAGAATCGATGGCGCACAAAACTTGCAGCCACAAGAGCTGCTCTCAAAGGCACAACAACATATTCAAGGCGCATTTGCAATTCGACAGATGCGAAGCAACGACACCGAGGTGTTTGTCCAGTCGGCGTCCCAGAGAGACGCGGCGCTTAACATGCGACAACCAACGGACTTGAAGGTTTTGCGGCAAGAATTTCCTGTTGAGGTTTCCGGAGTCCCACTGCGGACAAGAATTGAGGGTGGCAGAGATGCCAACAACTACGCCATCATCAGGGAGATTGAGACGGCGACGAAGGCACGTATTCCAGGCCTGGTAATTAATAGAATACGATGGCTACATGATGGAAAGGAGCATCAGCGATCGAAGAAAAACGGTCGCAATCGAGGTTCAATTGTGGTCAGCTTCCCATCGGAGGCAATGCAAACGGAGGTAGTTCAACAGGGCCTTGTTATTAACGCCATGCTCTTCACCGCGCAGGTATGGTCGCCACGGGCTCAGCCAAAGCAGTGTTACAACTGCAGCCAATGGGGACACACTCAGGCGTTGTGTGGAAAGGAAGCCAGGTGCGGTGAGTGCGCTGGCGCTCACCAAACTCTGGACTGTCCGAGGAAAAGAGTTTCTTGTGCCAACTGCGGCAAGGAACATCGTTCATGGCAGAAAGCAGCGTGTCGGACCTACCAGGTTTACAAGGGTAGTGTGGAGAAGGCTCGGATGGAGCTGTTATCGAGGACGGCAGATATTTGGAATGAAAAACAAACAATGGCGCCAACACAAACAGTCAGACCAACTGATGATCAGGGATTTACTTTGGTCACCAGTAAAAAGGCTGAAGGACTAAAAAGAGGGCCGGAACGACCACGCAAGGTAGTCGAAGCCCCAGCGGCACCAATCATCGCCTCGACAGTAGCACCACCATCGGGGCCAACTCTTCGCACACTTCGAAGACCAACGCCGAATGAGGAGGTGCCTTCTCTTTTCAATTTCTCATAACGTTAGTCTGATTGAAGGGGGAGTTAATGAATTTCGAGGAAAGTTTACATAATTGCGGTTGAAAGGAACGTCTTCAGCATAAAGCCGGGTCGGTTCAAAGTGGCAGGACATCGGGTTTTGTTTGTTGAAAGCTTTTTCCCTAACCAAAGTGGCTTACCGTCTTCATGGTTCTGTATATAGATGCCGCATAGGACGTTAAACGAGACTAATTCAATGTTTACGCGCCTGGAGTCCGTGCGCGGTGCCACGGCCCTCAGTAACAGGACAGATACCTACTGCAGATGGAACCTGAGGCACTAATGTCTTTGGGTTTTGTTTTTGTCTTGTTTTGTTTCGTTCATTTACGTGCTAGATATAGTGATTCCCGTTGCGCTCCTACTGGAGCTTAAGCACGGGTGGGGCCGAGCCGGATCAGGTTAACTACCGTAAAGTTCAAGTGTCTTGTCCCACCTAAATGACCGGACCACCTCAGACTTCACCCATGTATTGAATCATATCAAGCCCAAACGTCCAGAGAACCCCCTTTTGGCGCGCCGAGGCGCAAGTTCCTCCTCAGCCTCGGCCACCACGCGCCCGAGCCCTTGACACCTTCGCGATCTGTAACTTTTCCCTTCGAATCATTCCCAGCTTTGGCTCATCTCCTCATCTTATCCAGGGGTCGTTTTCTTCACTGGAGGCCTCATCCAGTCGCTCACCAAGACCTCCTCAGTTTGTATTCCCTTTTGATTCCTTCATACAGCATCACTCTGTCCTTCAGCCGATCTCGTCATCCGAGAAACTTTGTAAAATGTCCACCCCTCCGGCCTTGCCCAGTCGCTGCCGTACCCCTAACCGTGGAGGTCGAAAATCTGACTGAGAGCTCAAGACCGAGGCACCGGTGCTCCAGCCTTTGTCGAACGCTCTAGTTGGTGTGCCGGCGAAATGTCGTACGTATTTCGTCGGTGGCGATTCGTCGCAGGTCGAGTTGTTGGTGCCCTTGGCTGAGGTGAGGACGCATCTAAGGTCGGTATTTTGACCGTACCTTCACAGCGACTGGCAGTTGCGTAGGGTCGGGCATCCTCTGGCTTCTGTGATGGCGATTTGACTATTGGAGGTATGGGATTGCTTCGGTAGGTGGTGAGATAATTGTGGAGAGGGCCGCGAGTTGGGTTTGGCTGGGAATAATTTTCCAGAGAAAAAGAAAATAAGATCTTGAAGGTGTCGGTTGTTGTGATACGAACATCATACAGGTTATAGGCTGTCTACGGTTCGTGTCTGGGGTGTAGATGGTTGATTTCGTTGAGTTGTGCAGTCGTGAAATCTCTGCTAGTCGGATTTTCGACCAAAAATGAGCCAACACCACTCCGCCCGATCGCCAACTCG